TGTGAAAAGCGCTATACAAATAAACTTGAATTGAACTTGAATTAATGTGAAACAGGCCTTTTCATTTAACTAAAAATGCATTTAGATTTACAACCCCCTGATTACGGCTGTTTTCTCGAAAACAACCTAAGTTTGTACTGAAAATTTACTTCTTACTGGTAGTGATGGTAGAAAGGAAGCTTTTCAAAATGTATTTTGAACAAACTATTTTCAATATTTGATCCAATCTGATGAGCCCGGTCTCATGAAAATGCATATAAATAGTACGCTAAATAAAAACAGAAAATCGGGGTATTGAAACGCAAAAATTGACTTTAGCGTGCATATGATATGCACGTGTTTGACGTGCATATAATACACAGTTTTCGCATACATATGATACGCATCTACCCCACAAGGGAACATCATCCATCATGATTTTGTGTCAGACCTTATGGATTCAGACCGAAGACGTGCAAATTGTGACAGATGTTTCATTTAGTAGATGTTTGTTTGTCAGCAGCAGTTTTTATGGCAATTGTTCCTTGCAGTTCATTATGAGCACTCCTGTTATAAAAGCAACCAAAATGTCACACTACTGTGTCGATGAACACACACGAAGATGAAGATAAACAATCTTTAATAAACCAACTGATATGTAATTTCACACAAAGGACTAAAAAGACAGAACTTAAGTAGGGTGGCTAACGAGGGACAGACAGGTGAGGAAGATTAACTAATAAGGACACAAGGGCACGTGAACTACACAGGAAGGAAGACAGGAACTGAATAAACCACAACTAAACGTTCATAATAGTGACACAAAAGGGGACAAAAACAGCTTATTAATATATTAAATAATGTCTTTATGAGAATCTAAAACTGCAGAAGCAGTAGTCAATGGAAATTCCCCACCTTGATTGTAAAGCATACGTATGTTTTATATATTTCTGTGACCTTGCTCGAGACCCCAACCTGTGAATGATCTCAACTTCCTCTGCTCTCACAGAAACTGTGCAGTAGTTTAATAACTGTATTGTGAGCACATATGAGTGTCAGTCGCTCTTCTGTCAGAGTGAGAAGTGATTGTGTGACTGAAGCAGCATCACACTCTTCTGCTGGGATTGGACTCTTCTGGAAACTTGACTTTAGAGAAATTATGCTCATCTTTGGACTGATGCTGCTGCTGCAAACAAACCCATGCTGCTGATCAACTCTCACATAAAAACACTGCAATAGTACAATGGGAGTTTTTTCAAAACAGTCTGCAGTGATCTGTTTTCTGGTCTTAACAGTGTGTATCAGTGGCAATTACAGTATGTCAGATAGAAGTGTTTAATTCACAATAAAAGAGTGCCTGTGTTAAAGAGCCATGAAATCAAAGTGATAGATTTTATGGTCGTCTTAGAAAAAGTATAACAGCTGATTTTGTACACCTTATGAAAATTAACCATGATTTACCACAAATTAAACCAAAAAAGGTCTCAGGTTACTTATGTAACCATGGTCCCCTGAGTAGGGAACGAGACACTGCGTTCTCTAGGGATCACTATGGGGAACGCCTCGTCGTGACCCGTGTCTGAAGCATGCATTGAAAAAACACGTTGGCCTGCGACAGCCATGACATCACTACCGGAGCGACTATAGTATAAATAGGCACCGGAAGAACACACTCCTAGTAGCAACACCCTGTTAACGTAGGTATCCAGAGGATACATAGGTGGAGTGGTGCCCAAGGCAGAACCGGGGTTTTAAACCACTCAGAAAGAGCACAAGGCTGCTGCACGTAGCTCTTACCATACAGGATTTTAGAAAAGTGTTTAAAGCGTGCGAACTTACCACAGTATGAATTTTAGAAAGTGTACAAAGAATTCACGTGCACACTTACCATAACATGGAATTTAAAAATACCGTTCTAAGGGGTTCTCGTGGCACTCTGAAAGAGCAGCCCATAGATGGAAATGGTGCATCCCAAAACGTTATGTTTGAGAAGTCATCAACTTAATCTAAGGCTTATAATGCTGGAGTGGCTAGCAGTAAATCTGTAGCTGAGGGGGCAAACATCCAGCTCTCAATCGAGAGGGAGCTCGAACAACAGCATGTTCCAATGGAGCAACAGCTAGCAGTTATTTAGCTGAAGGAGCAACACCCTCAGTTCTCAAACGAGAGGAGGCTCGACC